TAATTTAATATTTTTTTTTACATATACATGTACAGGTAAATTTTAAAAATTGATCTGGTTTTAAAGGACATTTTCCGCCCTTTGACATCTCATATATGGGTTGTTTGCTTACGTATATCGGAGCCACTCCGGAGGCCACATATCATTGATACTGCTGATACGGCGGTAGTACGGTGTAGACCATTTTACTTTAAATCGCTGTTTTCCGCTTAACAATTTAAGGATTAAACTGAACTCAATTAATTTTAGGCTTGTAAATAATTTTATTCTACGGGCCACTAACATAACATTTGTCATTTGTCCGATGGCTTAAACGTTTTTCTTATTTTTTTTCAGAATATTTTTAGAACTTGTGAGGGCTCTATAATATTATCAATATGATAATTTATCATACTAAAATGCACTTGCCATAAATAAAATCCAATTTTGACTTTTTACGTTTTATCTTAAATTGCATACGCTCCATAATTTGCTATATGATTATGATGAAGTGCAGTAAAGAGATATGATGATCGTAAGGCCTTATACCAAAAATAGATTTATTATGTAAACAGTTTGCAGCATGCATACGGAGAGGGTTACAAATTTGTGGAGTTAAAATTCTTTTTACGAGCGACTAGGTGAATCAAGTTTACTGTAGTGTATCTTTTTTGCTTTTTATTTTAAAGCAAAGTATTATGTATGAAAAATGTCAGTGTGAAGCTGTATTATCGTTTGTAACACAAATATTTAAACACATCAACTGCAGTGACTGAAATGTGGACTTTTAAATAAAAATATCTAAAATTTTATTCTATTTTCACAGTTATATATATTGTCCATTCACGTTCCATCACTTGACATAGCAAGACGCATCGTAGCAGCGTAAAAGCCAAAACCAACAAATAATTTCTCATTAAGTGCAAACAAATTATAGTGTAACAACTACAGTGAGTATAGACTACCCTACAGTCAAGAATGAGTTAAGTGTTAAGTGATAAGAAAGAGTTACATAAGTGACAAGTGAGCTTCTGGGCGTTCCTACCACCTGTTAATTGGATGCTTTTTACTAGACAAACAAAAGAGGACAAACAAGGGAGTAATTGGCCATATGCAAATTGATAAGTAATCTTAAACATCTGCATGACCTAACACATAATTTGCAAAATTAAACACGACATATACCTTTAAAACCCTAAGAGCACATTGCTTAAACTATAGGAAAATAACAATACCTAAACATAAAAAAACATTAGAAAGACAATACCAACCAAACACCATACAAAAAAAAGAAAAAAGTCATACAACAAAAAAAAACATAACTTCCCATCCGAACCTATCGCGGTCGTACAAATAAAAGCTGAGTAGGACAATAAATCTGTCAACAACAAACATAAGGCACCAAACCCAGTAACTTAATAGAACGGCCCCAACAAAACAAAGTTTAAGTTTAACCCAAACGAGATCAATAATAAACATTTGACGTTTAGAACATAAACTCAATAAATTAAGAAAACCCAAACATAGTAAAAATAGCTCACTAATCAAACTCTAATGGATTTTGTAAACACATTAGATTATAAACTAAAAGTAAAAAAAAAATAGCAACTATGCAACAAGGATAGTATATTCTGTAACAAGTTTGGGATATGCAATTCCAAATGTGTTTCGAGAAATAATTTAATTGGAAGAAACTGAGGTTGGATTGGTCTAAAAGTTGTAAGATAATAAACCCAGTGTTTATTTTGCCATCCGATCATAGAATTAATTCATTATGTAACAAATTAAGGAATATATATATATATATATATATATATAGGGATGTAAGCAAATTTTTATGACAATGTCATGTCACGATCATAATGGTGGAGGTTGGCTGGGAAACACGGGGTAGTGTCTGTTTTTGTAGAATACACCTTGGCTGATGAGTTTTTCAAAGGAAGGAATACGCCATTGTGCTTGAAAAATTGTGTTTAATTCTAAAATTTAAAAGAATCCTAATGTTCTAATTTAAGTTTTTTGAGGCTTAAAGTTATAGAACTTTTAGGCAAACAAATAAATTCAATAATTTTGGCAAAACTATCAATAATTTTAGAAGCTGGAAATGGATTTGGCTTGTGGCTATAGTTTCAGTTTCTTAATACTGTTATACTGCCGTGCTAAGTACAGAGGCGGTAACTGCAATATTAAGTAATATAGAACATGTTATATTGTAACAGTTGCGGCTGGTGGATTTTGGGTATACTGATATCTCAATTACACTGTAGGTAAATTTTTAACTTTTGAAATATCACAGCTAAAAGCTCGGACAGGTAAACATAATTTTTGGTCGTAGATTCCAAATCCGTGCTCGGTTTAGCTGTATCAGGTCTAAAAAAGTTTTTCCTATTCGAAATCCGATCTGGGGACACATTGTAAACTGGTATATTATAATTTGTAAAATAATATAATTCACCTCTTGTGCCAACAGTTTTATGCTTTTTATTTCATTTAATATAATATCCTCAATTATACTCAATAAAAAAAATCAGCAAAAAAACATTTCAAATTTCCTAAATTATCTAAGAAAACCCTTAGGGACACGTGTATCTTTTGATCAATTAACTTTTGCAAGAATTTGTTATTTTTTTATTTGGAACTGATGAGTGGGTCCCGCCAAATTTAATTTTTATAAAAATTTATACAGGGTGTTTAAATTTATACAGGGTGTTTCCAATATCTTTGAATTTTGACCTGATACAGCTAAACCAAGCACGGATTTGTAATCTACAACCTAAAATTAATTTTACGTGTTCGAGCGTTTAGCTGTGATATTTTCACCTCCCTACAGAGTTATTAGATATGGGACATACACCAAATTTATATATAAGATAATAATAACATTAAATCAACAAGTTCTGCGCAAGCAGAATTTAAATTAAGTTTGCGAAAAAAATATAACTTTTTGCTCGGCCGTACCGGTCCCATGGCGCCCCCAATAAATATAATAGAAATTTAATTGGTGCAATTTATTATTTACCATAGTTTATCGACAAATTATTATAGCATATTATGCTAGTTATTAAGAACATAGGGTTGATCAAAAGATTTTTTTTAACCAGCTGGTTCTAGAACTTCTAAAAATAATTTAACAAGCAATTTTTTCCGAAAAATTTATTAAAAATAATGCGAAATTAAAAAGAACTACTTTTAAGGACCTTGTTAGTAACTTTGTCCAGTATTATTCCTTTTTTTAATTTTCTTGAAAGTTACTTAAATAAACATTGTACTTATGGTTGCATAGCCTTAGGCTAAAACCTTGTGTAATAATATTTGCTGTATTACTGCACTAAATCGAATAAATAAATAATAATATATTATATACTTACAATATAGAACTTGCATTAAATTAAAAATTAATTAATTAAATTAAAAATCACTGAACAACACTTCATAAATAATTATTGAAAATGTATACTGTAAGTAAACCCTTGTCTATTCAGTAAAATGAACATACAAATATACCAACCTCATATACAGCTTTAATGTTCCTAATAATACAATGAAAAATCTTAATTCTAGCTGCTGTTATATTTAATCCCTGTAAATTTACAGTTGTAGGAACTGGTTGAGAAGGTTCTGGATCAATTTGAAGTAAAACTTCATTAATCGGGCTTCCATCAAAGAAAGTTTCATACACTAAAAGCGCCTCTGGTTTCTTTACACAAGTAGACAGCTGAAATTTAAAACTAGTGCATTGAACTTTTTTTAGTATTTACTATTATAAAATTTACCCATTTGACCAAAGGTCCAGTTAGAAACTCTTCAATTTCTGTAGCTGAAGCTGCCATTTTATTAATTTATGTTTATACAAGTTTATTCATCTTATAAATAGGTAAAAGGCTTTGTTAGTATTGTAAGGACTATTCAGCCTCTATAACAACATATTGGTGTTGTGTATCCTTCTTTTATAGAATAATATATTCTTGAACAATGCCATTTTACTTCACCTAGAGCTTTATGTAATAATTATTTAATATTCACACGCTGTTATAGGCTTTTCTTAAAACAAAGATGGTACAGTCCACTTCATTTAGAATTTTATCAAATTAATGATTTATCACACAAAAACTTATCTCAGTATAACTTGGATAACATACTTTTTGAATTTATTTGATAAAAACCGAACTTTACTGCTTAAAAACCGTAATATTTAGTAAATTTTATGATAGACAAACTTTTGACACTGATTGTTTAACCTCTCTTTTACGAGCGCCATCTGTAAACAAAAATATTGTTTCAAGGATTTCGTACCACAATGGGTTTTTACATTTTAATTAAAATTGTATCTACTATAGATCTATAGATTTATATATTGTCACCCATAATATAACAAGTGATATGATTATCATCGATGATATTTTCGAATTAAAACCGAGCTGCAGATTTCACGAGTGAAATGTGCTGCTTCGGTTTTAATGAGTAAATATCATCGATAATTAATCATACCACGAGTTATATTTAGTGAGAAAATATAATGAATTTTAGGATTTAACGAATTTTTAGTTTGACATTTGAAATTAAAATGTGCTTTAAAATATAAAAAGACTTTAATAAACCTTATTTATTCAAACTTACCTTAATTTCATTATCGTTTACACCAACCCATCGATCGTTTAGAGTTTATAATTCATTATTTTATTGATATATATCAAAAACAGAATTTAAATGACAACAAATGTCAAATCAAAAAAACGTCAAAATTCATAGTAACGTGTAAACAAGATGATTAAAATTATTGCCGCTGTGATAAAATACGTCACTATGGAATACTGGCATTTTATTGGTTCTAATATTAATGAATTGTATTGTCATTTATATAGGTATATAACAATTGTATTAACATTTTAAAATATTTTTGCTACATCGAAAAGGTAGATTTCGTAGATGTCAAATCACAGTTGCCATATGTCAAATTTGACAGCAGCCAAATTATGCTGATTTAACAAGTTAAAACTCTTTTAACGACACAAATTAACGATATGGGTTGTGATGGTGGTACTATTCCCCGTAGAGACGAGCTTGTTAAAGTGAAGAAGAAGCCAGAAACTAAGGACAAGGACGCAGAGTTGGCATTTTTGTGGCAATGTTGTACCATTACTCAAGAAATTCTTCAAAAACCCATTGTTGTTTGTCATATGGGTAAACTCTACAGTAAAATGGCTCTTATTGAAGCACTACTGGATAGAAGCACACTTCCTGAAGGTTCAAAATACATCAGAAATTTAAAAGATGTAAAGGACCTTAACCTAACTCCCAATCCTGAATTTAATGCTGATGAACGCAAAAAAGAGGGGGCTATTGATCACAGGGCCGTTCCTTACATTTGCCCTGTATTGGGTTTAGAAATGAATGGAAAACATAGATTTGTTGCCTTATGGTCTTGTGGATGTACGTTTTCTGAAAGAGCCTATAAAGAAATTGGCACTAAAAACTGCCATAAATGCACAAAACCTTTTGAAGATGATGATGTGGTGATTATAAATGGCAATGAAGATGACTTGGAACTTATGCTGGGAAGAATGGAAATCAGACAGCAAAAGAATAAGAAAAACAAAGAAAGGAAGACAAAAGTCAAGCAGGAAAATAGTGATAGTGGTGAAATAAGTACAAACAATATTATTACAGAACCTTCAAGTTCAAAACAAAAAAGACCAACCTTGGTGAAAGAGGATGTACCCAAAAAGAAAATAAGGACAATTGGTAATGTTGTAGCGACAGGAAAGGTAATGAATCAAGAGGAATTAAAGAAAATGAAACCAGAATACAGCATTGCAAAGGATGATAAAAACACAGATGTTTATAAGTCATTGTTTACAACTCATAAATCAGAAAAAGAACAAGATAGAGCTGACTTTCGATTCCACCCGCCTGGCGCGTGTCTGGCTTGCGATCCACCGACGCGAACACAAAAAAACGTTGGATCGATGCCGCCCCAAGCCAGGAGATGACTTTTTAAGTCATTAGATGACTTTGATGTCGATGACTATAAATCTGACAAAAAAATTTGATTATAACTGGTTTTAAACCAGTTAGATATGTATCTTTTTCTACTCCTATAACGGAATATGACCGTTTTAATATCACTTTTATCTATGGAATGACATATATTCCGTAAAGTGTCACAGAATGAAATATTTTATTATCTGCTGACAAAATATACACTTGTGGCGACATCTCTGTTTTTAGTATCTAACAAATTTTAGACCGATCAAACCTCACTTTCTTCCAATTAAATTATTTGTCTATGGTATTTTTTGGAAACGTAGAAAAAGTATAGTCTGAAACACGTTTGGAATTGCATATTCCCCTCTCGTGAAACCGTCAAACTCGCCTTCGGCTCGTGTGACAAACTTTTCACTCGAGCGGAATATGCCGTATTCCAAACTTGTTACAGAATATTAGAGATGGGAAAATTCCCATTTGACGAAAATTCCCGGAAACTTTCCATCGAAAATTCCCGAAATTTTTCGAAAGTTTCAAAAAAAAAATTTTTTTGCGAAAATATTTTTTTTATGCCAGGGATTTGCAAAAATATATAACACATTAACTTTTTGTCAAATTTTATTAAGAAAAAAAATAAAAAAAATGTTTATAAGAATGTAACTGCAATACTATTTTTAGTATCTTTTACTTTGGAATATTCCTATTGTATACTGAAACGTACAAAATAAAAATAAAATGTTTACTATTAGAAATTCACTGCTAGTAAATCCTAGATATTACGTAAAAAAAATTAAAAGGGACAAAGTAACTAATATATAGGAATATTGAAAAGTAAAAAGTAAAGTAAAAAATAATTCCAAACACTAGATTTTTCTCTTGGCATTGTGCTATGCCTATAAATAAACAACAAAAATGTAAGAATGATTTTAACTTTGTTTATTGTTTTTATTTTGTTTACCTTTTTTTTTAAGTTTTTTGTGATGATGCTGAATAATCCGGCTTCATTGAGGTTATGTAACATAACTTACACACAAAACTAGTTTTGTGAACTTACATTATTTATACTTCTTCTTCTGCTTTACACACATTAAATTCTTATTCAAAGTTTCTTGGCCTTGTATCATGGCCTTAATGAAAATCAGCGTTTAAACAATTGACATTTAAATGAAAAAAAGGAATGTTTCCAAGGAATGTTTCCGGTAGCTTAAAAGAAACTTTCAAAATGAAAATAAATTCCCAACTGGAAACTTTCCAAAACGGAAAGTTTCCTTAAAATGGAAACTTTCCGATTCCCATCTCTACAGAATATACTATTATATTCTACTAGGATTTTTATTTAACTTTTTGATTTTGTTTAAATTTTGGTTTTTTTTTAATAGATTTATATTCTACCAGGATTTTTATTTAATTTTTTGAATTTGTTTAAATTTTGTTTTTTTTTCGAATACATTTATTTTTAAGTTTATGTATATTTTTATATGTTTTAGTCACTTGCCACTTGTCTGATGCTTCTATATCTATAGATATACATTAAAGATGAGGAAATAAAAATGACCATAAATGACAATAATATATATATATTAGACTGGTTCAAAAAAATCGAATATTTTTTTTTCTTCAAAGCCCGCATTAAAATATCTTCCTAGTAGTAAAAAAAGAAGGCTGTGAAAATTGTAGCTCTTAATATTAATATTTAGAGGTCGCTCATCGTGAATTTCTATTTTACGTTTAAATAACACAGGAATTCTTTTTTCTTAACTTTGAAATTTTATAACTCGTTTTTGAGTGAACGTATTGGAATGAACTCTATATATTTTTGAAGAAAATTGAACGTTCTACAAAAAATGTCTCTTATAATTTTTTCGTAAATTCACTCCTTTAATAGTTATTCAAGGTTGAAATTATTCCAATATGTCCACTCAAAAAAAAGTTATAAAGTTAAACAAAATTCCTGTGTTATTTAAACGTTACATTTATTATATGTCTAATTTCAACCTTGAATATCTATTAAAGGAGTGAATTTACGAAAAAATTATAAGAGACATTTTTTGTAGAACGTTCAATTTTATTCAAAAATATATAGAGTTCATTCCAATATGTTCACTCAAAAACGAGTTATAAAATTTCAAAGTTAAGAAAAAAGAATTCCTGTGTTATTTAAACGTAAAATAGAAATTCACGATGAGCGACCTCTAAATATTAATATTAAGAGCTACAATTTTCACAGGCTTCTTTTTTTACTACTAGGAAGATATTTCAATGCGGGCTTTGAAGAAAAAAAAATATTCGATTTTTTTGAACCAGTCTAATATATATATATATATATTAGGGTGTTTCATTTAAAACGAAAATTTTTTTTCTTGCTGACACATTTAATTTTTGTTTTTTAGGTTGAAAAAAAAATCCCTGAAAATTTGAGACGTTAATTTTGATTCTAAGTACTTTCTTTTTAATTTTGTAGTTTTTCCATATAAAAAGCATGTATTTTTAATCATTTTTACTTTAAATTTCTATATTTTGGCCGGGTTTTGAATTATAATTTTTATCACCATAATTTCCTGTATTCCTGTATTCACGGTTTTTAAAAGGCCCTGCATCAATTTTGTTTTTGATTTATTTACGTTAATTGTAGTAGCTCCAAAAGTCGTTTTTTTCATTTTTTTTTCACATATTTTTGAGAAAATCGAGCGAATGACTGGTTTTACCGAAAAAGTTCAAATTAAAAAGTTGTAGAAAATTTTATTTTTGACAAAAAAGGTTCTTACGTTCATATCTCTAAAGTGCTTTGTTTAAGAGATATAAGCAATATATAGTTGTTGAATCAAATTACCTATACGAGTACATATAAATTTATATAAATTTCAATAAAACCTATTTTTGCTTATATCTCTTAAACAAAGCACTTTAGTGATATGAACGTCAAAAATTAAATTTCCTACCACTTTTTAATTTGAACTTTTTCGGTAAAACCAGTCATTCGCTCGATTTTCTCAAAAATATGTGAGAAAAAGTGAAAAAACGACTTTTGGAGCTACTACAATCAACGTAAATAAATTAAAAACAAAATTGATGCAGGGCCTTTTAAAAACCGTGAATACTATACAGGAAATTATGGTGATAAAAATTATAATTCAAAACCCGGCCAAAATATATAAATTTAAAGTAAAAATGATTAAAAATACATGCTTTTTATATGGAGAAACTACAAAATTAAAAAGGAAGTACTTAGAATCAAAATTAAGGGCTCAAATTTTCAGGGAATTTTTTTTTCAACCTAAAAAAACAAAATTTTTATGTGTCAGCAAGAAAAAAAAATGTTCGTTTTAAATGAAACACCCTAATATATATATATATATATATATATTCCGCAACAGGAGGAGAAAAAAGACATTTTAAAAAGCATTACACCTGTTAGAAAATTACAATTGTATAATTCAAGTTCAGAAACAAGTCTTCCTGTACGAAAAAGAAATTTTTCTACGACCACTATGTGACTTTCACATATATGTAAAAGTCACATTTTGTAATGGCATTGTTGCTTAGAATCTTTGAATCTTTTCATTGGCAAGGCAAACCACAAAAGAAAAGTTACATTTCTGTGTGAAAAGAAATTGACAGCATCGTTTGACATTCGTTTCAAAATTTGTATTGTACATGGTATTGTATTTGTATGTTTGTCTAAATATATTTAGACAAACATATTTATATAATTTAGAACACAGTTAATTGTGTTTGTATACTAAATTCTAAATTTTAGTGCCTTTATTTAAATTGAAAAGGTAAGGTTATTGATTTTAAGTACTTATACCTTAAAAATTAAAAGAATAAAATGAAAGTAATTTTAACAGCTGTCAAACACGTTTTTAGGTTATTTTGTTTTGTATTTGAAAATAATAAAAAATAAAATGGTCGTAGAAAAAATATTGTGTTTCACATGTGAGAAAAGCTTTCTTCAAGCTCGTGTTAATGCACACTCGGCCTAACGGCCTCGTGAGCAACTTAAACAATTGCATGCAATTGCTTTTCAACACTTGTAAAACAAATAACTATTTAAACATTATTCCACAATTATTTTAAATAAACTTGCATTGCATTGGGGGTTTTCATCTGAAGTGCATCAAGTGCAAGTGTTTATACATAGGCAATAATAGTGGTAAAAATAAGAAAGAGAATAGAATTTTCGTAAAGTTACAATAAGTTTACAATAATTTCCTATACAATACTATGGAGATTGCTCATAAATGGTTAAGTAAAAATGACCTTAGGATGGACAATGTCGATTGGACATACATAAATTGTTTTTTTTTAATACCTTATATTCCCTTTATTTCCTCAAAAAAATTATAATTTAAAAAAAATATTACGTTATGAAGCAAAAATTCCCTATAAGGAAAACTAATAATCGAGTAAAGAAAGTAAAAAAGACTTTGGGATAAAAATACATGATTTCTTTTTTTTGTTTAAAAGCTAAATTTCTCTAATTTTCTCAAAAAATATAACCCATAGATTAAAATTAATATAATTAAGATAATAATTATTAGTAATTTTAAAAATTAATATATTTTAATACATTTTAGTCAGGGGGCGGCACGATTAAATACCCACATCGGTAAAATAAAAACCAGCAAGTAATAATAATATTATAATACACATTATGTATTCTAAGGACTCAATAATCAAGAATTAATTAATACAAAGGAATAGTATATTTTACGAGTAGTGGGAGAAAAAGGAGATTTCTCGAGCGTGTAGTTTGCCGCACAAGCGTAGAGAGTGCGTTAACACGCGAGTGGAATCTCCTCTTTTGGTACACAATATTTTATTAAACTACCACAAGAAATTTAATGCCAATTTTATTTGATATTTTATCTGAAATCTGACAGCTGTCAAGCTACTTTAACCTAACTTTTTTACAATTTTAACTTAAAGCCAACTTCAGCCCGTGGACCAAGTAAAATTTCGCATACCGCTTAAAGTTAAGAAATGAAATGGGTGTTGAATAAAT